GTTCGACGAAGCGAACAACGTGAAATCGGATCCGAAGTTTGAAAACCCCCAAAAAAATCCCGTAAATGGGGTGGCTTCTTCAGATTTGCATTCCTCCGCAAGTACTCCCATCACGAACGTTAGTTTACTTTATGAGGAAAAAATCCGAATCTGATTTTATTTGTTCTGTTAGCAAATTTCAAATAATGTACCATTTTTAGAATAATCCTTTATAAAATTATTTTTTTATATCAATTTCTACATCGTCCGGGTGCACTGTGTTATTTAAGGAACTCCTATTACCTTGTGCTGCTCCTCCCGCAACAGCGTCCTCCCCACAAACGCCGATTCCTGCACCAAAACCAGTCAGCTTTGAAGAGTTTGAAGGAAAGGGCACCGTTTTTGACGAAGTTGAATGGAGAAGTATAGACGACAAATTGGCGCTCAGTCAAGTAGGGCTAAACTCTTCTGAAAATTGGTCTGGCTTTTTCGAAGTTTATCTGTTTCTTTAGATTCTTGGGAATGTATCGTTGCAAGCGTCAAAGTCGGTTGATAATGCGGTCATGTATGCCGGGAATGACCAGAAACCTCCTCGTTCATTAACAAATGGAAGCAAATCAGTGGCCATTCCAGCTATCCCACCTTATCCTGTGCTCGAATTCGGGGTTAGTTAATCGTTTCCAGGCTAGGCCTTCTTTTTGAATTGTTCATGTTCTCCCTTACCTATCTAGTGTAGATCTTTTCCAGAGATCGAAATCCGAAGAGCCAGCAGTAATGCTTAACGCAGTAGGCGAAGTACCCACTGCCGTCTATAAAAAACCATCTCATTCAGGTGCGCTATTACTTTTGCAACTTATTCGACTGTTTCACACGATAATTTGCAAAGTTCACGAGCTTGCGCTTTTTTGCGCTCAGTTACGCTTTGCAAGTTTTTGTGAGAGTTTTGTTTTTAAGCGTCTGTCAAAGAGATGCCATCAGCAGTTGTTCATGACTCACCATTACGAGTCCGACTACTGACGAAAGGTTATCGACCA